GGAACACAACCTTGTCATCACCAACACGCTCTTCCGCCAGAAAAACAAGTTCAAGACATCATGGAAGCACCCCCGGTCAAAGCATTGGCACCTCTTAGACTATGTAATCACACGCGCCAGAGACCGCCGTGATGTGCTCCTCACAAGAGCCATGACAGGTGCTGACGACTGCTGGACTGACCACAGGCTAATTCGATCCTCGATGGCTCTCAAGATCGCTCCCAAGCGCAGACTCCAAGGAAGGAAGGCAAGGCGCAAAATGAACACCCAAGCCCTTCAGGAGCCCTCCAGACGAGCCCATCTCCAAACAGCACTCAAGGACCATCTACCCACAGTACACCCCGAAATTGTCGAGGAACATTGGAACAAACTGAAGACCTCCATCATCCAAGCCTGCGAAGAAACTATTGGATACCAAGCCAAGAAACATCAAGACTGGTTTGATGAAAATGACATCGAGATCCAACAGCTAATTGACAAGAAAAGGAAAGCCTTCCAAGCATGGCAGAGAGACATCAACTGTGCTGCTAAGAAAAAGATCTATGCCAGTGCAAAAGCTGAGGTCCAAAGAAGGACAAGAGAACTCAAGAACATCTGGTGGACAAAGAAGGCTGAAGAAATCCAACACCTGCCAGATACCCATGATGCTCAGGGATTCTTCAAAGCCACAAAGGTCATCTATGGACCAAGAAACCATGGGCATACAGCCTCTACGCTCATCAGATGGAACCAAACTCCTGAAGGACCAAAACTCAATTGCACTACGTTGGAAAGAACACTACCAAAGCCTCCTGAACCGCAGCTCCAATGTGGCCGAAGAGGTCCTCTCACAAATCCCGCAACAACAAACCAGGGACGAGCTTGCAGCACTGCCTAGTTTGGAAGAAGTCAGCAATGCCATCAGCCAACAGAAGAATAACAAAGCCAGTGGACCAGATGGGATCCCTGCTGAAATCTTTAAAGAGGGAGGACCTGAGCTGACACACCAACTCCACCAGCTCATAGAAAAAGTGTGGGTGACTGCGAAAATCCCAGCAGATTTCAAGGACGCCACCATCATCACCCTCTTCAAAAAAGGGGAAAGAACAGACTGCGGAAACTATCGAGGTATCTCCCTTCTAACCTCCGCTGGGAAAATCCTCGCAAGAATCCTTGCAAACCGCCTTCTGCCCCTCTCAGAAGACACCCTCCCAGAATCCCAGAACGGCTTCCGCCCCTCCAGAGGAACCGTGGACATGATCTTCACTGCACGACAGCTCCAAGAAAAATGCAGGGAACAAAACCAACCTCTGTACATGGCATTCATCGACCTTGCAAAGGCATTCGACACAGTGAACCGCAGCGCTCTCTGGACCATCCTCCACAAAATCGGGTGCCCAAGCAAATTTGTGAACATCCTGCGGCTCCTCCATGATGACATGATGGCAACAGTCTTGGACAGCAGTGGCTCCCAAAGTGACCCATTTAAGATGGAATCAGGTGTCAAACAGGGCTGTGTTATTGCCCCAACTTTATTCTCCATCTTCATTGCTATGATACTTCACCTTGCTGATAGGAAGCTTCCCAGCGGAGTGGAAATCATCTATCGGACAGATGGCAAGCTATTTAACCTCAGCAGACTGAAAGCCAAAACCAAGGTTACAACAACATCTGTTATAGAACTCCAGTATGCTGATGACAATGTCGTCTGTGCGCATTCAGAAGAAGATCTACACGCCACTCTAAACACCTTCGCAGAAGCATATGAGAAGCTCGGCCTGTCACTGAACATTGAGAAAACCAAGGTGCTGTTCCAGCAGTCACCAGCCAATCCCTCTCCAATGCCAGTAATACAGCTTAATGGTGTCACATTAGAAAATGTGGACCATTTCCGCTACCTTGGCAGCCACCTCTCCACCAAAGTCAACATCGACGCCGAAATACAACACCGCCTGAGCTCTGCAAGTGCAGCATTTTCCAGAATGAAGCAGAGAGTGTTTGAGGACCGGGACATCCGTAGGGATACCAAGGTGCTTGTTTATAAAGCTACTAGCTGTGCCCTGCCACGCGTTGCTGTGGCCTATAGTAAAACTTATCAAAGTTGAGGTAGATATCTGGACTATTATGAAAGAGAGGTACCTACCTATTCCTTCCCCCTTTTCCTCCCCCTTTCTCTCCTTTCTTCCTTCTCTACCTCTTTCTTTCTTTCCTTCTTTCACTACTTGGTTTCATCCTTCTCTCTTTCCTTCATTCCCTCCCCCTTTCTTCCTTTGCCTTTCTTCCCTCCCTGTTTGCTTCCTTCTTTCTCTTTTTATTTCCTTTTATTTCACCACCATCATAACAATAACAATAATGCAATGCATTGCCTCTGGGACCTGACACCTCTCCCATTCCCCCTAAAAGGGTCTCATAGGAATAATAGCATCATAATAATCATAGAAATAACAACCTTTACCCGCCACGCGTTGCTATGGCCAACCTTCCCTCTTTCTCTCCTTCTTTCCCTCCTTCCTTCCTTCCCTCCCATCTTTCCTTCTCCTTTTCCTTCTCTATCTCTTTCCTTCCTTCCCCCTTTTTCTTTCTCTTCTGGTCTCTTTTCTTCCTTCTCTCTTTCCTTCTTTCCTTCCCTCCCTCTTTCTCTACATCTTCCCCCTTCCTTCACTCCCTCTTTCCTTCCTTCATTCCCTTTTTTCTTTCCTTCTCTCCTTCTTCCTTCCCCCTTTTTCTTTCTCTTCTGGTCTCTTTTCTTCCTTCTCTCTTTCCTTCTTTCCTTCCCTCCCTCTTTCTCTACATCTTCGCCCTTCCTTCACTCCCTCTTTCCTTCCTTCATTCCCTTTTTTCTTTCCTTCTCTCCTTCCTTCCTTCCCCCTTTTTCTTTCCCTCCCTCTGTCTCTCATTTCTTCCTTCTCTACCTCTTTCCTTCCTTCCCCCTTTTTCTTTACCTCCCTTTCTCTTTCTTCCTTCTTTCCTTCCTTCCTGTCTTTCCTGGATTTTGACAGGGCGGGAAGGGGCGGGGGGGGGTTTGGAGGTGGCGTGAAGTAAAAGGAGGTAAGATTGGGGCAGGGGAGTGATGGAGCGTGGGGTTGTGTGTGTGTGTGTGGCGGCGGGGGGAGTGATGGAGCGTGGGGTTGCGTGTGTGTGTGCGGCAGCGGGGGAGAGTGGGGTTGCGCGTGTGTGTGTGGCGGTGGGGGGAGTGATGGAGCGTGGGGTTGTGTGTGTGCGTGCGGCAGGGGGTGTGTGTGTGCGGGAAGCGGCGCGGCGGGGCTTGGAGTGGGCATGGCTTCCGCAGAGGGAACGTTGGCCGGAAGACTGTGTGCGCGCACCAGGGAACTTGCGGCTGGGCACCAATGCGCATGCTCAGTTGTTTTGCCGTTTTGTGAGTGTGTTGTTGTGTTGTTTTTCATTTTGAGTAGATATGTTTGTACCTTATGGGTTGTGTTATGGGCATGGCAATTTTGGTTAAGTTTCGTTGGGGTTTTTTTGAGTTTTGTTGTTTTGCCGTTTTGTGAGTGTGTTGTTGTGTTGTTTTTCATTTTGAGTAGATATGTTTGTACCTTGTGGGTTGTGTTATGGGCATGGCAATTTTGGTTAAGTTTCGTTGGGGGGTTGTGGAGTTTTGTTGTCCCGTTGAACCAACCTAACAGATTTATATATAAAGCTATTGTCCTCCCAACCCTGCTCTATGCCTGTGAGACGTGGACTGTCTACAGACGTCACATGCAGCTCCTGGAACGTTTCCATCAGCGCTGCCTCCGGAAAATCCTGCAAATCTCCTGGGAAGACAAGCGGACAAACGTCAGTGTGCTGGAAGAAGCAAAGACCACCAGCATTGAAGCGATGGTCCTCCAACATCAACTCTGCTGGGCCGGCCACGTTGTCCGGATGCCTGACCACCGTCTCCCAAAGCAGTTGCTCTACTCCGAACTTAAGAACGGAAAACGGAACGTTGGTGGACAGGAAAAGAGATTTAAAGATGGGCTCAAAGCCAACCTTAAAAACTCTGGCATAGACACTGAGAACTGGGAAGCCCTGGCCCTTGAGCGCTCCAGCTGGAGGACAGCTGTGACCAGCAGTGCTGCAGAATTTGAGGAGGCACGAGTGGAGGGTGAAAGAGAGAAACATGCCAGGAGGAAGGCGCGTCAAGCCAACCCCGACCGGGACCGCCTTCCACCTGGAAACCAATGCCCTCACTGCGGAAGAAGATGCAGAGCAAGAATAGGGCTCCACAGCCACATATGGACCCACAAGGAAGAAGTAAGTAAGAAGCACTCCAAATAAATAAATAAAACCAGTGCTCTATAATCACATATACACATGAGTACTACAAAGTCCTGTAAACCAGTATTCAAAAGGGGAAGTAGTGTGTTGTATTTGTATGCGTTGAGGGTGTCCTATGAATGTCAAAATAAGGACTCTGGGAGTTTCAACCCAGCCCTGGAAACCCACTGGGTGGCCTTGGGCAAACCACATTCTCTTAGCCTAAGAAGGAAGGCCATGGCAAACCCTTCTCTAAATGACCCACCCGAGTGAGGGACATCTCTATCCACCTTCAAAGGCCCCTCTCTCTATGATCTTCCTTCTGGGCTTCCAAGGGTTCCAATGGAACTTCGGGTGGGAGGGGGAGGGAGAGAGAGAGAGAGGGTGCACGCGCCAGCCTCGAGAGAAGCGCCTCGGCTCATTCTCCGAGCGGCGTTCCAGCGGAAGCCACGGTTGGAGAGGCGAGCGAGCGGGGGGCGGGGGCGCGCGCCCTCCCGCCAATAAAGGAGGGGAGGAGGAGGAGGGAGGCGGGGCCAAAAGAGGAGGCGCCCCACTTGCTCGCTTTCGGCTCACAGGTAATTTATTCACTCCCAGAGCCGGAGGAGGAGGAGGAGGAGGGCGCGAGGCGTTGCGCGTTGCCAAGGAGACGCGGAGGAGGCTGGTCCGGAGAAGGAAGAAGGGGGCGTGATTAAAAGCAGGGAGGGGAGGGGCGTCCAATTAAAGCGCAAGCCACGCCCCCTTTTCGCACAGGGGGGCGGTCACGTGGCTGCAAGACGCCTTGAGGGAGATGAATGAGGGAGAGGCGGTTGAGGGAGATGAGAGAGAGAGGAGGGATTATCGCCTTTAAGCAGTTTCCACCTGGCTTGGAGGGAAGGAGGGAGGGAAAAGGAGGAGAAGGAGCGGGCCAGGCTGAGGGGGAGGAGGAGGAAGCATAGAGTGAGTTGCAGGAAGGAAAGAAGGCTGGCAGCACAGTCGCCATGACCTCCAGAAGGTGCCCTGGGCGCAGGAGGAAAAAAACAGAATTTCCCTCCAAGGTACAGCGGGGAAGGTGGCCGTTAGAAGGCCCCCAACTGGCTTCTCAAGGCCGCCTGCATTGGGAACTTCGGGGTTAACTGCACAAAGTGACAGAGGGCGCGTCTCCACTGTAGAATGAATGCAGTTTGACAGCCCTTTAAAACTACCAATGCCTCTAATGCTGTGGGGTCGTGGCAGTTGTATTTCTACAGGGTCTTTAGCCTTCTCTCAAAGAGTGCTGGCTCCTCACCAAACTACAACTCCCAGGAGTCTGTACCAGTGAGCCATGGCACTTCAAATTGGTGTCCAACTTCATTCTTTCTCTGGAACTCTCTGCCCCGGAGTGTGGTGGAGGCTCCTTCTTTGGAAGCTTTTAAACAGAGGCTGGATGGCCACCTGTCAGGGGTGATTTGAATGCAATATTCCTGCTTCTTGGCAGGGGGTTGGACTGGATGGCCCAACTCTTTGATTCTATGATTCTACAGTAGAGATGCACCCAGAATAAGCTATTCTTGTTTAGTTGATTGGAAGAGACATGTGTTTGCAATCCCTAAAGTCCCAGGTAATAGTATGATAACTGGGTTCAGAAGCTGTTTGCGCAAGAGAGACTCAAGTAATGTAAGCCAAGCCAGAGACAGATAAGAGTTCTTTAATGGAGAAACCCTTACCTTAACCCTAACCCTGAACCATACCGTAAGCCTAAGCCCTTACCCTAACCTTTACTATAAGCCAAAACCTTACGCTAACCCTAACCCTAAACCATACCCTAACCAGAGGAGAGCCTTCTCCTCTGTGGCCCCCCGACTCTGGAAGTCACTGCCCAGAGAGATTAGGAAAGCCCCTATCTTAGAAACATTTAAAAAGAATCTCAAGACCTGGCTCTGCCATTGCACATTTGGAGAGTAGTCACATAATCTTAAACTATTGCTCCCCTCAACATTCTTGTCCTAGGAGTACACCCCCCCCCCCCCCGCATCTATCACCCTGTTTCTCTATGAGTTCTCCCTTACAAATAATTCTGCTCCTTTATCTCACCCTGAGTTTTTAAATCATTTTATGTACATGTGGCCCACTCACTGTCATTATGTTTTGTTTACTGCTTTTTTATGTTTTGTGTATATTGTTTTATATTTATATGTTTTGTACTTTACTGCGATGTTATTTATTTTATTGTAATTTGTATTTTATTGTATTGTAATTTGTTGTTTGGGCTTGGCCTCATGTAAGCCACCTCGAGTCCCCATTGGGGGAGGTAGTGGCGGGGTAGAAATAAAGTTTAATAACAAATAAGGTTATTAATAATAATAACTTTACCCTAACGATAACCCTAACCCAAACCTTAAACCTTGCCCTAACCCTTACCCTAAGCGTCCCCTCCTTTCTATCCTTCCTTTGCTCTCCCCGCTCTCACTCCGACCCCTTTCTTCCCTTATTCACAGCTGCATTTGCGGCATCTCCGTAATGCTCGGAGCTTCCGGACCCAGCTATCATACTATCACCAAGTCCCATTCTGAGTAGCAACTGAAATGTCTCTCCCCGCTTCTGCGAACAGAGTTGAGGGAAGAAGATAATAAGGGTAATAGTACAGCAAGCAGCCAATGTTTCTTCTATTTCCTTTCGGATTCTCTTTTAAAATCTATCCCAAGTAGACTACTGCAACGTGCTCTACGTGGGGTTGCCTTTGAAGACTGTTTAGAACCTTCAAGTAGTCCAACAGGCATTATCCAGGTTCCTTACTGGAGTGGGATACAGGGAGCACACAGCCTCCCTGTTACACCAGTCCACTGGCTGCCAGTCTGCTACCGAGCACAATTCAAAGTGCTGGTTTTGGCCTTTAAAGCCCTAAACAGTTCTAGCCCAGCTTACCTGTCCGAACTTATCTCCCCCTATGAACCATCTCGGAGATTAAGATCGTCAGGGAGGCCCTGCTCTTCGCAGGCACAACTGGTGGGGACGAGAGACAGAGCCTTCTCAGTGGCGGTCCCTAACTGTGGAACTCCCTACCCAATGAAATTAGATCATCCCCTCCCTCCTGACCTTCAGAAAGAAAGTGAAGACATAGATTTGGGACCAAGCCTTTGGACAATAATTCTGAGTGAAATGAATGACTATAGAACAATGCAATTAGACGACTGGAATGGCTTTTGCAATATGCCTTTGGATTGTGTGATTTTAATTAATTGTTTTAAGATTGATATGTTTTTAATTATTTGGTTTTCCTGTATATGTTTGTATTATCCTATACATGTATATACAGCATTGAATTGTGCCTTTTTTTGTGAACCGCCCTGAGTCCCCTTTGGAGTGAGAATAGCGGGATATAAATGCAGTAAATAAACAGTAAATAAATATATTCTTTAGAAGATAGTGAGCCATTGGTATCTAATGGGGTTTGGTTCCAGGATACCAAGCCCTATTATATACAATGATGTAGTAGAACAGTGTCGCTTATATAAAATTTGGTTTGATTTTGGGATTTGAGATTGGGGGAGAGGAAAGGGAGATATTTTAAAATTGTGGATGGTTGAATCCGAAGATACTGAATCCGTTGACACAGAAGAGTAAATATTTTACTGGATTGAACTAGCCGTTGAATTCTTAGTCAAAACAAACGCTACTGCCATGGTGATTGACAACCATCTATTGTGTCCAACAAAAAGTAAACTACGTGGATCATGTGGCACTGTTGACAAATCCTTTTCATGTTTGCAGTTCATTGGATCTAAAACAATCAGTTTTATTCATTAAAACTAATAGATGCCTTTTAAAATTATTCTCTTTACCTAGAAGTAAATCCCTTTGAACCTCTTTCTACATGAGTTCTGAATAGATAGTAACAGACTTGCACAGTTAATTTATTTATCTAATGTCATCATATGAATCCAGGAAATAAGGGTGTAAAGCGCCCATGTAAACAAAACACCTCCGTTATGTACTTAAATATCCCCTTAAGAGGATAAAGCTTTGGTTTATCAAAGCCATGCATTCTCAAATGCTCACACCCCTCTGTGGAAAAGGAAGGGAGCAATTTAATGCTTAAGATTTCATAGCACTTGTATTTCTACATGTTGATATTTATATGCTCATATACATATTTTCAGTTATTTACAAGGTTGATATTTGAAGTTCTTAGTAAGCAGATAGATAAACAGAAAAGGTTTGTTATCTGTAATAGAACCAAATATAAGCTCATGAATTGAAAAGTATGCCATTTCCTTGTTTTATTTTACATGTGAATGTGAAAAACAGTCCCCTATTTCATTCTTTACATACCCTTACAGAGCAATTCTAAATTGGAGATGGAGTATCATGAATTTCCACAGCAGAGTTTTCAAAGAGGTAGCTGCGTTAGTCTGTTTAAGTATAAAAAGAGGGAAGATGCCTCATTGTGCCATTAAGATGAATACATCTATTAAGCTTTTGTGGACTATTATCCACTTTTTCAAATGTGTAGCAGAACAATGTCTGCTGAAATCCACACCAGAAGAACTATCACTACCTAGTGTTTCTATTGATCTCAAGTGTTGATTTTGTTCCTTCTTGCCCCAATCAGTGGTTGCATCAATAGGAGGAAAATAACTATAGGCGCATCTACGCTGTAAAATGAATGTAGTTTGACACCTCTTTAACTGCCATGACTGAATGCTATGGAATCCAGAGAGTTGTAGTTTTACAACAGTGCCCTTAGCATTCTCTTCCCAAGTGCCTCACTAAACTAAAACTCCCAGGATTCAAAAGCATTGAACCATGGAGATTAAAGTGGGATCCAACTGCATTCATTCTAGAGTGTAGATGCACCTTATGCCATCTTCAGAATGCAAACCATGGGCATGTCGGAGGAATGAGGGTAGTTTTGATCTTGGGGGAGCCGAAGCTGCCTCTCCATCACCTCTATCTTTTGGTTGTTGCTGTTGATAGGACAGCAAGCATTAATATTTTCTATGCATGGAGCTTTCTGTAAACATACCTGGGATGGGGCCTCAGAAATTGGGGGTATTGCCCTGCTGCACATGCCAGCTGTATCTAAAACTCAATAGTCATTCAACCAATATTCAGCATTGGTTTATGTTGATCCATCTCTTGGGGTTAAGTTACTTCCATATAAGCCTGCATACAGTTGGGCTGCCTATCTAGGTTCCATCGCAATACAGCTCTATTTTGTCTTTTTAAAAACCCCTTATAGATTAATGATAACCCAATGCCTGGTAACTTTTCCCAGTAAGAATTGCATATTTATCCTGTTCAGAGTAATACCAAACATATATAAAGAACAAGCCTTCATGCACACAATGAAACTTATTTTGAGTTGTATGGAAGCAAAGCAGACTCACTGACCACAGAATCCCAATCAAAGGACAGCTGTTGGAGGTGCCACCAAAAAAGATGTTGGAAAGCACACAATTGCAATATTTTTATATTTGTAGCTATTTCTGTATCTGTATCTGTCTGCCTATCCACATGCGCGCGCGCGCACGCACACACACACACAAACGAGAAAGCACTGGATTGCTGTGAGTTTCCAGATTCATTTACTTGGAAAGCTAATTTTTCAGATTAATAAAATACATTTTTCCGTAATTATTTAAGTGCTTCAATATCTTGAATTCTTTTGCCTATTATAAATAATGCTTTTACTTAGAGAGGAGGTAGAGTGGACATAGCAATACAGTAGAATATGCAATCATTTTCACCATAGTCGTGAATATTTATCTAGAGCTCAGAAATTCAGAGTTAAAGCATCCCTAGTACATGAATGTCAATCTACAGCTTGAAAATGTTCATTGAGGGAGAATTCACTATCCCATAGGTATTTGGCTGATTATCAAACTGCTCTTACTATATAGATATACCTCCTAATATTCAGCAACAATTAAATGTTCTATAACTTAAGGCCACTGTGTCCCGTTCTGTCTTGTGGAGTAACAAGCAAGTCTTTGTCTTTTTTGGCGTGGCATGTCTTCAATTATTTGAAGGTGTTATAATTTCCTTCTTTGGTCTCACCTCCCCCCAAGCCGAACACATACAGTTCACTCAACCTTTCCATATAAAATTTGTTATCCCCCCTACTGATTTTTTTTGTAAGTACAGTAATGAACAAAACTGGAGACAATCCTCCAGATTGACTAATGTCAGTGGAAGTGGCACTCACTTCCTGTGTTTTGAAAAGTATTATCTGGATGGTACAGAAGTAGCAATCTAAATAACTAAGAATGGCCCTTCTATCATGTTGTTGGATTGTTCTGTGGGAGACCAAGGTTGGAATCCCTGTTCAGCCATGAAACCTACTGGGTTACCTTGGGCAAGTCACACACTAAGGTTTAGAGAAATGCAATGATGAATTTCCGCTTGACTCAGTCTTGATAAGAGAACTCTAAGATAGGTTCACCATAAGTGAAATTTGAAGGTACATAGCAACTACCCTTTAGTAAGCTTGAGGAAAATTTGCCATTGTTTTATAAAAGGATAGATACTTTGCATATCAGGAAGTTAAGTGAAATGTACTTCCAGTTCTGTAAAAAGCTGTCCAGACCTAAAACAGCTAGGAAATGGGGACAAAAGCATAGCATAAATGTTGCCATACCTCCAAAAGGGGGAAAGAAACATTTTCCAATCAAATAAGTTTCAAAATTTAAAAATGGGCAGAGGGGTGTCTATAAACAATTATTTCAAAACCATGTATAGCTTTCTCCACACTTCCCCCCAACATTTATACAAATATCGATAGAAATCAGTGGCACACAGCTTTAATCCTTTGCCCATTTTGATGAGGATCAACGGATGGCTACTCTTTGAGTCTGTCTTCTAACCAGCGATGAATATATGTAATTGTAATCTCCATTTAAATCAGGGGTGGGCAACTATGCTAGGGTTGGGACTAATTTGCATTCCTAGTGGGCCACACAATCTCACTTGGTTGAAACTGGAAGTAACATTATATCACTTTCAAACTGCTTTTGTGGTGAGTTTGACTATTTTTCATGGTCCAAAATATTCTATTTTTTCAAACCTTGGAAGGCACCAAGGGTTGCAAAAAAGAGGGTAGAGTGGGCTATACATTCCTTACCCTGATTTAATCTTTGTTCTGTGAGTTGGATTTTACATTTAAGTAAAAACATTTTTCAGGATAATCACTTCTGGCACAATTAAGCAATTGGTCAAGATGTATCTTTTATTTGAATGTAAGAATAAATATAAAACAGACTGAAATTGTTTTGCTTGCTTCCCCAGAGAGTGACAACAAGAGAAGAACTTGTGTTAAGAGAGCCATTTTCTGAAAGTGAGAGATCTTTAAAATCAGAAGACAACTTGAACAGGAAAGACAAACTCATCCAAAAACTGCAATCAGAGGTTCTGTCATGTTTTTGCTGTTTTGGCTAGCTTGGCCTTACTATATAATAAACATAGTGTGGCACTCGTGATGTACAGTATGTTTTTTTCCATGATAATACCATGGTGGTGTTGGGAGACTTTAACATCCATGCTGAGACCCCTTTGACTGGAGCAGCTCAGGACTTCATGGCCGCCATGACAACCATGGGGCTCTCACAAGTTATATCTGGACCCACTCATCAGGCTGGACATACACTCGACCTAGTTTTTGTGGCGGATACCGGAATGATCAGAGTGGAAGAACAAAACATCCTTCCTTTGTCATGGTCTGATCACTATCTGATCAGTTTTAGACTTTCTGCAACCCTTAACCTCCGCAGGGGTGGAGGACAAATTAAGATGGTCCACCCCAGGAGACTGATGGATCCGGATGGTTTCCTGAGGAATCTAAGGGGTTCTTCCTGGCATGGAGCCTGGCAATCCTGTCGACGCCTTGGTTGATCTCTATAACAGGGAAATGACCAGGGTGATACATACGATCGCTCCCGAATGCCCCATCTCGTTGCGTCGAGACAGGCCATCTCCCTGGTTCACCGAGGAGTTGACCGTGTTGAAACACACGAGAAGGGGGCTAGAGCGCAAATGGAGGAAATCTCAGGACGTGTCTGACCAAGCACAGGCTATTGCCTCTCTTAGGGCGTATACCATGGCTATATGGGTAGCCAGGGAGTCTTTCATGACTACCCGTATAGCGTCTGCAACAAATAGATCATTGGAGTTGTTTCGGGTTGTCGGGGAACTCCTTCACCCACCGGTGGTGAAGGAGACCTTCAATGACCCAGCAACCCGGTGTCGCAAGTTCGCACACCATTTTGCAGACAAAGTTGCTCAGATACGTCTTGAGCTGGACTCCAATTTCATCACAGTTCCAGGAGAGGTGATTGAGGCATCTGCTTGTTCAACTTTGTGGGATTCTTTTAGGCTTGTTCTTCCCGAGACCGCGGAGGAGGTCCTTGGCGCTGTGAGGGCGACCACGTCGGCTCTAGACCCTTGCCCATCTTGGCTAATTAAATCGGCCAGGGAGGGGTTGGTAGATTGGTTTGTGTTGATCGTTAATGCATCGTTGGAGCAGGGGGGTTTTCCATCTCAATTGAAGCAAGCGGTGGTTCGGCCACTTCTTAAAAAGCCTTCCCTTGACTCCGCAGGGCTGAACAACTTCAGACCAATCTCCAGCCTCCCTTTCTTGGGCAAGGTGCTGGAGCGGGTGGTCGCCTCCCAGCTCCAGGGTTTTCTAGATGACAACAACTACCTAGATCAGTCACAGTCTGGTTTCAGGCCTGGCTACGGCACCGAGACGGCCTTGGTCGCCTTGGTGGATGACCTCCGTAGAGAGCTGGACAGGGGGAGTGTGACTGTTGGTTCTCTTGGACATCTCAGCGGCTTTCGATACCATCGATCATGGTATCCTTCTGGGACGACTCTCTGGGATGGGTCTCGGGGGCACGGTTTTGTCGTGGCTCCAATCCTTCCTGGAGGGTCGATCCCAAATGGTGAAGCTGGGAGACGCCTGCTCGGACCCCTGGCCTTTGACCTTTGGGGTCCCGCAAGGCTCTATTCTGTCTCCCATGCTTTTTAACATCTACATGAAACTGCTGGGAGAGGTCATCCGGAGTTTTGGAGTTAGGTGCCATCTCTACGCAGATGACACACAACTCTACTACTCATTTCCACCTAAATCCAAGGAGGCCCCTCAGTGCTGGACAAATGCCTGGCCGCTGTGGCTATCTGGATGAGGAAGAACAAGCTGAAGATCAATCCCGACAAGACAGAGGTCCTCCTGGTCAATCGTAAACCGGATCGGGGTATAGGGTGGCAACCTGTGTTGGACGGGGTTACACTCCCCCTGAAGTCACAGGTCCGCAGCTTGGGAGTCCTCTTGGATTCATCACTTACGCTTGAGGCTCAGGCGTCGGCGGTGTCCGGGAGGGCTTTTGCACAACTAAGACTTATGCGCCAGCTGTGACCGTACCTCGCAAAGGCTGATTTGGCTGGGGTGGTCCATGCCTTAGTCACCTCTAGGTTGGATTACTGTAATGTGCTCTACATGGGGCTGCCCTTGAAAACGGCTCGGAAATTCCAACTGGTTCAACGCGCGGTGGCCAGGATGTTAACTGGTGCCCCTTACAGAGAGAGGTCAACCCTCCTGTTTAAGGAGCTCCATTGGCTGCCGTTTACCTACCGAGCCCAATTCAAAGTGCAGATGCTTACCTACAAAGCCTTAAACGGTTTGGGACCTGCCTACCTGCATGACCGCATCTCTGTATATGAACCTACGCACTCCCTCCGTTCATCCAGAGAGGCCCTGCTCACGATTCCACCTGCGTCGCAGGTTCGTTTGGTGGGGACGAGGGACAGGGCCTTCTCTGTGGTTGCCCCCGACTTTGGAACACCCTCCCCAAAGACATTAGACTAGCACCCACACTGGCAGTCTTTAGGAAGAACTTGAAGACCTGGCTATTCCGATGTGCCTTTCCGGAATAGGATAACCACCAGCACTACGTCCCAGAAGCACTTTATTAGAGCTTAAGACTCTCTGCACATTGCACTTGCCCAGAATCCCAACATATTACCTCTTACACCCAGCACTTTTAACTTGTACCCTTCATTGGCCCGGTGCTGGTTTTATTGCATAATAGTGTAATGTTTTGTTGTTGTTATTGCTTATGTTTTTAATTTGTATTATATTGTTATTGTCTGTTGTTGTTGTTTGAGGCCTTGGCCTTTGTAAGCCGTATCGAGTCCTTCGGGAGATGCTAGCGGGGTACAAATAAAGTTTAATAATTAAAAAAAAAATTAAACATGATTCACAAAAGTACCCACAGTGTGTTATGACTGCAGCAGGACTTGGGAATTGTTGGACCATAACTTCCGTTAGCCTAGTTGTCACAACCCATGATTTTTGGCCACAAGGACTTTTGGCTCCAATGATAATTTGGGGGGGGGGGGATTTGGCCACATGGAGACTACAGAATTTGCAAGGGCCGCTTCTAGGAATGTGACCTAAAGAACAAAACCTGACATACCATGTGTATATTTTATTGCTCTCAACAACCAGCAATCTTCATCATAGAATAGGCAGCAAGATATCTTAAGTTAGATAGTATAGCTCCAAATGAACTTGGGGCTTTATGGTTAGCAATCGAGCTTCATTTGAGCAAGGCAATGTAACATAAAACTACTAGCTAGTTAACTAAAATCAATATTTTGGCAAGGGATTGCTTGTACTTTCAGCACTGACTAATCCACAATTTACTCATGTTTAAATTACCTTGCATTAGATAGACCCTAGCCTTGTTTCACTGAGTCTCTATTGTTGTTAACAAATATTCTTCTGTGTAGACTTTCAAGAAGTAAAAGAAGTGAAATAATTTTGTTCTATTCGAACCCGGCAGATTGAATATTTGAAAACAAAAAATCTTGACTTGGAAAAGCATGTTAAGAAACTGCTTGATAGTAAAGCGGAGGCAACGACTCAGGTGGATGATTTGGCTTCTAAGAATGAATATCTGCACAAAGAACTTGCTCATGTAGACAAAGTAGCAGAACGGCTGGAAAAAGAGAAAGAATTTGCATTAGAAAGTGCTGACCAAGAAGTTTCAGAAGCTAAGGTTTGTAAATTGGTGGTCAAAATGTTTTTTGCATGTAGTCTTCCTCCTTCCCCCAATTTGTTTTGTGGCTGAATAACCTGTAATTGGGGGGGGGGGGGGAGCTTGTGATGACAATACATACTAATATTGATTGATACACACAAATCCTATATAAAATGTTTGCAATTTTTTGACTACATGCAAATATTTCTTTCTGTCTTAATTTTAGTCTCAGATTAAATGCCAACAAAATACTATACGGAAGTTGGAACATACAATCAGCCTCCTCAGAACTGTAAGTTATTTACATATTTTTTTTCACTGATAAAAACACAGGTCACTTGTAATTGCAAAAGAAAATGTGAATTAGTACTGATTTTTTTTACTTGGTCAATTAAATGACAAAGTTCATAACACATTTGGATGAATACCCTCATGCTTAAGTATTACCTGAGTTTTTTAATGTGATTTCTTCCTGTATAATGTCTAACATTTATAAATAGTCACAATACATTGTAGCTCTTCACATCTTACTCCATTTTTTAATGTTTTACTAATCCTCTCTCAGCAGCCCTTAGCCATTACATGAGAGGAATCATAATGGAAAAGCTTGGCAATTCCATTCCATATGCACAGAAATCTTTGCAGTACAGTGTTTTCCTTGGAACACTAATTTCTAAGCATTGGGACTTCAGCTCCCAGAATCCTTGACTGTTGACCTGGTAGATTAGGGCTTCTAGGAGGTGAAGTCCAAAAGGCTTAGCAAATCTATGTTCTGGAATTCCTTAAGAATCCAGTCTGCTGTTCAGAAAAGTGGATTTTATTGACATTGCATAAATATTTTATTCTCTTGCCATATGTATAATGTGACTTTTTGCTATGTTGTATTTTTATATTGCATGTTTAGTATGATATTGTAACAAACTATATATTTGCAAGTCTCTATTCATATTTTATATAAATATATTTTCATTTCTCTGTATTGTCATTGACCATAAATACCAATATATTTGTTTTGTTTATGTCATGGTTTTGGGCCATCCTTTGGACTTGTGATTGAGACCCCACACTTTTGATGTTCATTTTTCTTTCATATACTTTTCTTATAGATATTTTTAAAAACATGTTGGGGATACCTGGTGAAACAGGCTAACCTGCTTTGGCCATTTCTCCCTGTTTATGAATGGACACTAAGGGATTCTGAAGGCTGCTGTTGTTTACCTTGACTGTTTTAAACTGACATAAATAGCTACAGAAGTATTGGCTAGCCCAGTATCCCATTCTTTCCCAGCTTATACAAACACCAAAAGGCTGTAGTCCTCCAGTCCTCCTTGACTTCCTTCTTTTGTTGATGATGCTAAAAGTCCTCTGGCTAAAAGAAGGGGAGGATGATGGGTATAAAAAAATAAAATCTTTTTCAGAGGCTTTGTGAAGTATTCCTATATGTGTTCTGGCAAGCAACTATATGCAGATTTCTTTGAGTATCTTATAAAGTTGTTTGGAAGTCAAAACTTGACATAATTTGTCTTGATAAAATGCACAGTATTTTGTTTTGAAATCTTTGCTGCTTTGAGACAAATTTCCTTCAGACATCTCAGTGGATATTGGGCGGAGGGGAAGATTTGAGATCCTGGCCAGAGTTATATATGATTTCCTAATACAGTATTCCTGGTCCAACAAGTCATGTTTGTCTGCTTGCTTTTGCTTCCTCTCCATACATTCCTCCTGTCTTGTATTCCTAGCTTTATACAAGGTATCTTGATTTATGTAATCACCGTTTAAAGTATTTATTGAAAGCAAGGTGTGAACTTTAATTTCTAACCAAAATCAGATAACTGCTTGAAATACTGAAGTCTGTGTGGACTGCCATTATTTCCTAGGTCAGACATTACAAGAAACATTGGTTTAAGAAACCAAGACTTACATTGAGTGGAACATATGAGGAGAGGGAGTAGGGGGATAACATTCAGCCAGTCCCTGAGTTACAAACATTAGACTTACAAAGGACTCATAGTTAAGAATGGAGGTGAAGCAACAGGAAGTGAGAGGAAATCTGCCCCTCAGAAGGAAAGTTTACTCCTGAAAGAGTACACTTTCCTTATCATGGGGAAAAGGTGTCTCCACTGAAGCTTTCTTATCAATCCTTGTTTCCACAACAAGCCATTTTTTTTCAAAATCCAATTACCATAGGGACAGAAACTGAAGGGAAATCTTCCGAACAGGGGCACAGACAGCCAAACAAATACTACAGGGGTGTAAATCCTTCTCTATGCTATCCAAAGCTTGCAGAGTCAAAACTCTGGTTTTAGGTTATCTAAAATGTTGTGTTTTCTTTTGAAAAAAATGTTTAGCTGTTCAGAAGTTATAATAGTGCTTCTTCATGTTGGTTCTTAAAAGGTTATCTTGAACACTGGAAAATCACAAGAGAGCTCTCCCTCAAAGCTTACAAACGGTATTAAGACAGTAGAAGAAGAACGAGATCATTATAAAACTGAAACTGAACATTTGACGAAAATGCTCCGAAGCACATCTCTAAGTCCTAAACGCAAATCCTTTTGTTCTGCTTCAAAGACTTCCTCCCCCGTTCAGGTATTCTTTCAGATTTTTCAAAGATACTGTTTATATGCTTTCATAAATCTGTTTCTTTGCTCACTTATTGCTTCTGTGGGTGGTTCTACACCAGGGATCCTCAAACTACAGCCCTGCAGCTGTTCGGGGCTCCAACTCCCAGAAGCCCTAACCAGCTTCAATTTTCTATGGACTCCCCTTAATATTACCAGAATCCCTTATGTTTTTTTAAAATGTCGTTTCTGCCTTTTTTTTCTAACTCATATCGAACCAGGGAAGCTTCAGAATAGGTTGCTATTAATGCAAATAATTTTGAATTTTATGATTAAAAGTATTAAGAATAAAATATGGGGTTAGCTAAGCTGTATGGAGTTGGGTTGCTTTTTATTTTTGCTTCATATACCGTATATATTATATAGGACTATAGAAGATAGATAGAGCTGATGTCTTGGATATTATCTATCTGTCTGTACATTGCAGCTGCCACAAAGCTGCCTAGTACAGACAGTATAAAGAGTCAGTGTAGATGTGCCCACAACATATGTATGCCGCAAAAAAAAGGGGGGGGGGATGTTGTGAGAGTTGAAAAAACAATAGTTTTTCACCCCATAGTTGTCACTAGGTTAAAAAAAACTCAGGTAGAGATTTAAAGGTTTCAGAAAGTGGCAGGAAAATCGAAGCCCAGCATCAACTATAATTATATAACCATCAAATAATGTCTGCAGATTGCTAAACTGAAGTTGAGATGGTTTAAGCAGTCTTACTATGTAATCATGTATGTGTATATCATCATTTATTTATATAATGCTATCAGTGTAAACGACACTTTAAAAGTAAAACAATCAAAACAATGAATTCTGATAAAGGCACACAATCTAAAATCTACGTGTATACACATACACATAGAGAGAAAGAATAATAAAATATATATCTATACAAGTGGAATTGTGAAATAAATTATCCAGATAATTTTTTAAAATGTAAAATAATGTATTGTGTGAGGAAATAATTGTGGCCTAGTACATCCAATATACAGTTAGCTTTTTCCATCTGCTTGTAGCATCCTGACTTGCAAACTTGTTTTTGAATTAGTGATTAGATCAGGCATGGGCAGAATGCCTCCAGATGTTTTGGACTTCAACTCCCACAATTCCTAACAGCCTCAGACCCTTTCCTTTTTCCTCTTAAGTGACCAAGGGTGAAAACGAAAGACCCTGTGGCTGTTGGGAATAGTTGGAGTTGAAGTCTAAAACACCTGGAGGGCCAAAGTTTGCCCATGCCTGGGTTAGATAGTTCCGTTAGTGGAATGTTTCTTAATTAGAAGATAGTTTGTCTTATACACCTTTAGGACACCTAATGGTAAAAGCGGTTTGGCAGCAGAATATGCTGCCTTGGAGTGTGCTGGAGTCTCTTTCCCTGGAGGTTTTTAAGTACAGGCTGGATGGCCATCTGCCAGGAGTGTGTTGATTGTGTGTTTCTGCATGGCAGAAAAGAATTTGACTGAATGGCCCTTGGGGTCTCTTCCAAATCTATGATCGTACATACCAAAGTTGTTTTCTCAAGACACTGTATTTAAACAATTGTTTAGACTTATTTGGATATAATAAAACGCCTGATAAAAATATATAACAATATATTTCACTATAGATTGATGTTCAAGTACTATGAGCTCAATATATGGTCTTCATGGAGAATTTGAAATCAAATCAAACTGTTATGCTCCTGAATTATTAATGATAAAATACTTTGTTAATCTAAAACACTGGAAAATGAGGTCAGTTTCTTTTCATCAAACATTTAGGGGAGTCATTCTGATCAAGAATTTCTGCACATCTTGAAAGACTGTGAAGAATATAAGGCTATGCTAGAAAAATATGAACGTCATGTTGCAGAAATTCAGGGTAACATCAAGGTTCTCACAGCAGAAAGAGACAAAGTGCTCCACCTTTATGGCGAGGTAATATATCTATTTGTGTTAAATATTTTTTTATAAAAATGATATCTGATAAAATACCTTTTATTGTTTTGAAGCTGTGTGATAATCTTGATAGATGGTGGTTTTGCCCGCAACTTGGAAGTACTGTTTTAGGCTTTTTTTTATAATGACATTGTCAAAGCACTGTTAATTTTTAACTACCGTATTGTAATGTTTACGTTGGTAATTTATTTGACATAGGAAGTAATGTTCACTCATTATTTCTGAAATTATAATTTTGAGAGCATAATTTGGGAGAATTGGAGACTATTTTTGTAACGCTTTAAGCTGTTTTTTTAAAAAATGTAATGACAAAAAACAACTTGTTAGTAACAATTAAAGAAACAAGTCCCCTTTCTAATAGTTTGCAACAAATAAAGCCAGCAATGAAACTTCCTTAAAGTTATGTGTAACATACGAGGAGAATGTTTCCTTTTTTTGGGTTACATTTTCATCTCCAACTTCAAGGTTTATAGTTAACAAGTATTGAGAGTTAGCAATTCTTTGTTTCACAATACAGAAATATTTTTTTTAAATATTCATTTTAAATAACAGGCACAAGAAGAAATAAGTCAACTGCGAAGAGAAGCAATCAGAATCCCCAAAGCATCTAAAACTGCAATCACTACCCAGGCTGTTTTAAGACGAGTGGAAACAGAAAGGGATACAGTTATTTCTGATTTCCGAAGGATGTCCACAGAACGTGATAGCTTAAGAGAGAGGTTAAAGGTTTGACTTTTTATCCAAACTCATTTGTACAAGATATTCTGGAACAGAAGACAATGCATCTTATCTATTCAGTATCATTGCTACTGAAAAGCATTTTTAAATTTTTTAAATTTAATTTTATTTAATATAGATTGCCCAGGACACAGCATTTAATGAGAAGGCTCACCTGGAACAGAGAATTGAGGAGTTGCAGTTAAATGTTCAGAGTGTAAGGAAACTATCTCTTGAAATATATTGCTAGATATTGAATTAAAAGAGGGATTAAATTGGAAATACTTTGATTTGGGTTTTCACATACATGTTGTAAACCAAAATAGTTTAGGGCATTATATGTTTGTGATCTGTGATTAGACAAGTGGTTTGTACTAGTGGTGTGAATATGCCTAAAAATCTGATGTAGTAAGAATGTACTTGGGTGATTTTGATTCTGGGATCCTTAGAAGTCATGCCTCGGTTCTAGCTGTTCCATCCACAGGGAGAAAGCAAGTGGAGTGAGTTATTTCATCAGAGAGGGTTGCTGATGTTTCTAGAAATCAGAAATCTTCTAGCTTGTTCACTATCCTTTTATTTAAACCCTAAATCAATAAGACCACTCTCATTCACAATTTAATAGAGCCATCATATACTACCAACATCTCAGTGGATTTTCTGGCTGAATTTGACATTTCCTAGATTGTTCATCTGGCAACATGGTATAGTGCTGATTTATGTTAAAATGTCTGCATGAGGGACTGAGAAACTTATTGTAGCCTTCCATCATTTTCAGTGGGTCCTCACACACCTTGGGACAAGCCTAGAGGGTATATATCTGATATTAGGTCATTGAGGTAGACTGTGGTTGCTGCTGGTATACCATTCACCCTGCATCCTGACAGACTCTGTAACTGAAATGGCTAGGCATGGTGATGGAGGAATACGTGACAATGGTTGAGATAATTCAATAGTTGTGCTGCTACTGCTTTTGGAATTATAGCTCATAATCTTGGTATAAAACATAGAACTATCTCAATTTGTTATTGGCGCCACATTTGAAACTGGCTATCCCCCTTAATTTGGTCTGTGCTCTGAACAGGGAGAAGAGAGGCAGCAACCCTGTCATAGACTGGATCTACACTGCTGTATGATTAAGTTTTAATCTGTATTATATGATCAGAGTACACCCATATAATGCAGTTAATTGCAGTCTCCACTGACCATATTATGTATTATCAAACTGCATTATATGGCAGTGTAGATGGGGCCATGGTCAGGCCATTTCCACATGTGGTTTTCTATACCAGGAAATCATAGACAAGGAAACTGGATGTTTGAGGGCTAGAGTACAGGTGGCATAAGAATGTTAGTTGAATGGGTTTTATAGCACATTATTTTACCAAAACTAAAAGGCAATATTAATATTTTGAAATGGGTAGATAATACATTTATTAATTTATTATTTGTTTCGGGCTTTTATATCCTGTCCTATTTCAACCTCCGCAGAGGGGGAGCAAGAACTGTGGAAATTGCCTTTCCATAGTTCTTAATGATTCTTAATGATTGTCACTTTAATACCTCAGCTTGATAAAGAACGGTTAGAACAGATATCAAAGATGTCTTTGATGAAGGAGACTATCGAGTCTGTGGAAATGGAGATGAAAATATTGGCAAGAAGAGCAATGGATTTTGAAAGTGAGCTAAACAGACAAAAAACAGCAAATGTTTCATTGAGGTAAATAAAATACACACTGAATCAAACATTTGCATTCATGTGTCAATTTACTAAAGCTGTTGTAAGAGCAGGGGCAAACTTCATCATCATCCTTTTCTATTGCTATTTTAAATGCCCAGGACTTTGACAAGTGCACTATGCAATTGCATTTATTGACAAGACAACATATTAAGAATAATCCAGTGTGGTGAATTAAATTTTGCTTAATGTTTTGTTGACTAGTTCTCTTTAGTAAAGTTGTAAGATTGGAATCATTTATTGTACTATGTCTTTCTTTAAGTAATTTGTACATTATTTTTTCCCTAAACTATTAACTCATGTTGTAAAGTTTGTGTGCATTTAAATTGCCTTTATTTTTTTTTGTCAATTTTAGCAAATTGAATGAAAAAACAGAGCATAGCCTTTCAGAGGCTCAACGACAACTTTCAAAGAAAAAATACGAACTACAACTAATTCAAGAGAAAATTATGTGCCTAGATGAAAAAATTGGTGAGTTAATATGATATTTGAGTAAAACATGTTTTAGTTTAAATTTTGATAAACATTTTTATAAGAGTTCTACATTGGTTCTTGATTTCTTTATCAAAAATACAAGGGACAGTAAACTGTTGGGTTTGTAATTGTGATATGATTGAGCTAGAACTTCTTTCACAGTAAATGTGACAGTGGCATGATTCGTGTTATTTATTTCTTCCTCATTTTAGCCAATATCAGCCAATGTTGATAGCCGCTGTGGGTCTCATTCAGGAAGAAAAGTGGGATATAAATAAAGACGACCTCCTCTTTCTCCTCCTCCTCTTCCCACACATACCTTGACCAATCTAAAATTAAAGTCTACAAAATATTTATTATATGAGCAATATGTGGAGTGTTCATGATATTATCTTCAAGTTCCTGGCAGTCAGTGTGTAATTCAATATTGGCACTTTAATCTAGAAAAGTGAGATAAACGGCAGCTGCATTTAACTGATCTTAAATTTGTAAAGTTGCCTACGGAATATTGCACTAATCTATTATTCAAGAGCTCGAAGAAACCTGCAAGTACTTTTAAGTTCGGCTAGGCGGTAACTTCTCCCAATCTATGCATTTCCTCTCTTTGTCCATTCCCCTTGTTTTTTAATGTTTACAATCCGTGAGATCAAAATCTGTGAGACTAGGGCTTCGCAATTAATTACTTTCTTAAGTTCACAAACCCTGTCCATTTAAACAACTAAACATATTAATAAACAAGCAGGCATGTAGCTAGGGGGGAGGGCTTGGGGGGCTTCAGCCCCCCCTCCCTAAATTCTCATGGTGGTTCGCGAAAAGGCCTTACTGGTGCATTATGTTTTTTCATATCATGATCTGATCACCATACTCCCATATGCATGGGGGTATTGGGGTAACGATACAAAAGGTTTGCTAGGGTAGACCCTCTTTCACTCAGACTCAGCCCCCCCTGAAACAAACGCAGCCCCCCCCGCCTGAATCGAAATCCTGGCTACGGGCCTGTAAACAAGTAAAGATGCATTTTGCAATTGCAAGTCTTTCTCTGTTTTGTGTATTCTGCAAGAGGGGATTGTTCTTTTGATTGCCAAACCTTGCATAGGTCGGGGATTTAAAGAACCTGACTGTTTTGCAAAAATGATGATGTCAATTAATAAAAAATTAAATATGTATTTTGCAGTTACAAACCTTTCCCTGTTTTATATGTTCTGCAAGGGGCAGATCTTCTCTTTTTATTTTTTAAATGGTGTATTAAATTTTTAGAAAATGCAACCTAAATCCTCCCAATTAAAAATAACTAATAAGAAACACAGGCACTAGATTAAAACAAACTAAACAGTACTAAACCCATTCACTAGTTCTCACTCCCCATGGCTATCCCCTACCTCTGTAGTATCTCCCTTTAGTATACAAACATTAAAAAAACACAACTGACTATCATTTCTTCCTTTGGAGCTGATTATTAATCAATCACTTGATTAATCTATTGTACTATAGATTCCTTTTTTTGCGGTAATATTTAAGATTTGCCTGAATTCTGAAAATAGATATTTAAGGTCCTGTTTAATTCTGATTTCAGTTTGAGGAAGTTATTTCTTAAATTTCAATAATATTTGTAAAAACTGTAGTTTTGATATCTTTAGGTGTTCTTCATAAGCCACAAAGTACTATAAGGGGTTTTGCACAACCTTGCTATCCACTAACAGAGAGCATAAATTAATTGCTTGTTGAAATTATTTATTATTTAGTTATTTCCCATATTTCTAACCCGCCCTTCTCAACCTCTGAGAGGGGACTCAGAATGGCTTACACCGGCAACAATTCGATGCCACAAGATAATACAAATATAACAACAAATACAAATGTAACAACAGTTTAAAACAGTAAACAGAACATTAAGTTAAAAACACATTAAAAACATTGTCATCAATCCATATAGCCAATTCCAGTCCGATTTAACATCCAAAGTGCTGTCATGCTTGCTGTCCAAAGGCCTGGTCCCAGAACTATGATTTAACCTTCTTTATGAAAGAAAGGAGGGAAGATGCCGACCTGATCTTGTTGGGGAGTGATTTCCACAGGCGTGGGGCCACCGCTGAGAAAGCCCTGTCACTCGTCCCCGCCAAGCACAGGACCAAGAGCATGGACCAAGCGTTCTGGCGGGACTGAGAGCAGGGCCTCCCCAGAAAATTTTAAACTGCGAAACAGGACATAGAGGGAGATAATTCTTATTTCTGCATTGGAATGTGGACTGTTTTTCCCAGTTCCTCCTTCTTGTGATTATAGTCTTTATACTTCTGAGTATTTCATATTTAGCTTTGACATTGTTTTACAAAATTATTAATAAAAGTGTTTTTAAGCTTGGTTCAATCTTCTCAAAACAAGACAAGAAATAAAGGCTGGTCTGATTTCCAATAAAATGTAGGAATTTATTGATTAACTAAAAGTGTATTCATAAATCTTCTAGTTCAATTTAGACAGATTTATTTTGCAAAGTAAAAAAAATCTAACTTTAAATTGAGGATGTTTCCAATCTTCACTCTTCTTTTCATTGATTTATTTTGCCAATGAAAGGGTGGTTTAAAACCATCTAAAGACCTCTTTCTTACAGCAGACCTACCTAGACAGTTTTTAAACATGAATTTTAAACATGTGTCCTTTGTTTAATCTGCATTTTGTGTATTTTAATACGTATTTTATAGAAATACATTTTAATATGTGTATTTGTGGTATTTTAGCAATGTTTATGAGTTTTAATTATTCTGTAACCCACCTCAAGCCACAAGGACAGGTGTATAAGAAATAAAATTATTATTATTATTATTTGTGATAATTTTATTTTAATTTTCAAATGGGCAAGTTTACATAAAATAGCGGTAGACTAATTAAGCAGAATTATAAGGAAAAGATAGGGAAAGAAGGGAAAGGGGTTGTTAGGGAGTGATAGGAGAGGAAGGGAGGGAGGGTTATTATTAATTTCGAGCTAATCCACCTTGAAAGCTGGGTCAAATTTCACAGAGAAGCTAAAATGACAACCTGAGCCATTTGTCTCTCATGCTGTGCCCGCATGAGTTCAGGAATGGCTATAACAAATATTGGCATATGAATAATGGTTTGCCTCCTATGCCTAGAATCATAGAATCATAGAGTTGGAAGAGACCTCATGGGCCATCCAGTCCACCCCCCTGCCAAGAAGCAGGAATATTGTATTCAAAGCACCCCTGACAGATGGTCATCCAGCCTCTGTTTAAAAGCTTCCAAAGAAGGAGCCTCCACCACACTCCAGGGCAGAGAGTTCCACTGCTGAATGGTTCTCACAGTCAGGAAGTTCTTCCTAATGTTCAGATGGAATCACCTTTCTTGTAGTTTGAAGCCATTGTTCCGCATCCTAGTCTCCAGGGCATCTTCTGCCTGTTAAAATTAAGTAACAATGGAGTCATCAATAGCGTTACTGTATCACAGTAGTGGTTTCAGAATATCTTTCAAACGCAGCTTCATGTAGAATACAATGCACATTATAACATTCTTGAACAGAATTCTGCAGCTTAACCAAAGACTATTTTCCAAATCAGAAAGTAGATTAAAATCTTGGTTGCATATGAATAACATATCAGGTTTACTTGATGACAACATATATGACAGTTGAAAATTTGCAATGGATTAATAATAAATGAGACTATAATGCTGTTTCCAGAAAAACTTTCAAAAGAAAACCTTGCTCAACATGAAGATATGTGTACACTCAATGAAACGATAACTGAACTAGAATCAGAAAAAGAATCGTTACAAGACCTTCTGGAAGAAAAATCAGAGAAAACTGCCACCCTTGAAGAAAGCTTGAGCAATAAAGTAGGTTCTTAGATGTAAAAACTTATGTAGTTAAGATTGATAGAATTTAGGAGATGTTATGTGAATTTCTCAAAAAGTAGGCGTTATCCTTAGTATATTAGCTTCTGAAACAATATCAATGCAAATAAAAGCTACCGTTTTAATTGGCTGAAGTGCCATGCATTTAGTAGGCTGCTTGTGTTGAATAAATTGTTGCTGTGTGCCTTCAGGCTGTTTCCAACTTATGGCTACCCTAAACAACCCTATCTTGCATTTTTCTTGGCAAGATTTGTTCAGAATGGGTTTGTCTTTGGCTCCCTCTGAGGTTTAGAGAGTGTGAATTGCCCAATATCACTCACTGGGTTTCCATGGCCAACCAGGGATTCAAACGGTGGTCTCCAAAGTCTTTACAGACTTGCTGTGCTGTTCTGTTTGATTTACAAATATACTTAATTGTGTCTTTTAAGAAAACAAACAAGCAGCATAGGACATCCCTAAATTAGAGATTTGGTGAAATGCTTGTCCAGGTGATATTTCAGACTTCAAAATGTTATCTGAAAAGTACAGTGCTAAAGTCCTTGATTTATATCCTATAATGCATCACAGTCAGACATGATTATGCTTTATGACAGGGGTGGGAAACACGCAGACCTACAGTTTTGGTTGGAAGGTGACTCGCAGCATTCTTCACCATTGACCACACTTGCTGGGGTTTTGGGATTTGTTTTAATTATTTAAAGGTATGCTCAGGTTTGGGGTATAACTCTTCACTTATTTTGTTCTTGTGCAATCCAGCTAGGTGTCTTGACTTGTTCATACTACTCTTTTGTCAAGCACAAGAAAATTTGCAAGTACTTTTTATATCCCTAGTAAGGGATACAAGAAAGTGAGTCCTATTGAGTCAAAAGAAGGACTTTTCTTTGCACAAAGGGTGTGGAAAGTTAAGGAGGGAGCCAAAACCTCATTCCTATAGTTAACTAAACTAGTATGCTCTGTGCTAGAGGGTGATCCAGACTGTTCCATGGGACCAGTCAGTTAAACTCAGTAATTTTAGGAGAACCGGATGTGGAAGCATCCTGGATTACTGTAATGTGCTCTACATGGGGCTGCCTCTGAAGAGTACTTGGAAACTTCAGCTAGTCCAAAGAATTGCAGCCAGGTTGTTAATTGGGCTGGCTGAATTGAGCGGACAACCCCCTGTTGCAGCAGCTCCACTGGTTGCCAGTCTGTTTCTGGGCTCAATTTAAAGTGCTGGTTATGATCTTTAAAGCCCTAGATCAGGGGTCCCCAAACTACGGCCCACGGGCCACTTCCAGCCCGCCAAGGGCACTTATCTGGCCCCTGGAGGAGGAGCGCCCCTCCCCACACAGTGCCCCTCCCTTGGCTGGCTCACAATATCCGTCAGGCCCGATGGGCAGCGTGAGCCAGCCAAGGGCAGCTGCTCCGCGCGGCTTACTCACACATAAAGTACCTTGCGAGGTGCTTTACACGTGAGTAGGCCGCGCGGGGCTGCTCCTCCCTTGGCAGGCTCATTCTGCCCATTGGGCCCGATGGGCAGCATGAGCCAGCCAAGAGAGGCTGCCTCGGTGCTCCATGCAGTCATGCCGGCCCCATGACCTTGGAGGTGTCTATGGACAACGCCGGCTCTTCGACTTAGAAATGCAGATGAGCACCACACCCCAGAGTCAGACACGACTGGACTTCATGTCAGACGAAAACCTTTAACTAGGAAAATTGTGGAAGATCCAGGGTGGGAGAAAGAACTCTTGTCTGTTGGAGGTAGGTATGAATGTTTCAATTGGCCACCTTGATTACCATTTCATAGCCTGGCAGTTTTTAGCGAGAATCCTTTGTTGAGAGGTGATTAGCTGACCCTGATTGTTTCTTGTCTGGAGTTCCCCTGTGTTTGAGTGTTGTTCTTTATTTACAGTTATAATTTTAGAGGTTTTTTTTAAAATACTGGTAGCCAGATTTTGTTCAGACTACAAATAGGAAGATTTCCAATTCTCTGCTCCTGGAATTACTGCCTAAAGAGGGCTAGAAAGAACCCCCTCTAAGGGCCCTTCCACACAGCAAAATAAGATATGTGCAATGTGCATAGGAATTTTTTATTGTTTTTTTTTAAAAAAAAAACTATAGTCCGGCCCTCCAACAGTCTGAGGGACAGTGAACTGGCCCCCGGTTTAAAAAGTTTGAGGACCCCTGCCCTAGATGGTTCAGGTCCAAGCTGATCACATCCCCTTGTACTAATCTGTCCGGTCCCTGAGATCTTTAGGAGAGGTCCTTCTCTCAGTCCCACCTCCATAGCAAGTTGGTTGGTAACAAGGGAACGGGTCTTCCTTCTCAGTGGCTGCCCCTCAACTCTAGAACTCCCTTCTTCCCAGGGAAGTCAGAATAGCCCCCTCCCTGTTGTCCTTCTGGCACCAGGCTAAAAGTTTTTTTTATTCAGACAGGTTTTAAAATAAAAAGGTTTTAAAGATCATGTCAGGGGCTTCTATTGTTTTATATGCTTTTATGGATTTAATCTGAATTGTTTTTAATACTAATGATGTTTAATGCTGTTTTAATATATGTATATTTTAAATTGTATGCTGATGTTTTTATGTTGGGCTGCTTTGAGTCACCTGTGGCAGAGATATAGCAGAATGTAATAATAATAATAATAATCATCATCATCATCATCATCTCAGGAAACTTTCTGCTTAGTTCTGCACCAGGTCTCCATTTGCATGCCTGACCCACGCAAACTGAGTTTCTGCTCCCTGTCAGGGATCTGGACCACGTAAGAGGATCAAGTGTTCTGAATTGAATTCTTCTAGGTTTGAGATCCAAAAGAAAGTATAATGATGTTTCCGTTGTGCATGCACACATTTCAGAGTAATCGCAGTTCAGATCCTAACAAAGGAACTGAGGAAAGAGAAGTTTCCTTCCCCCCCTTGCTTTATTTCCCTGATCTAAATTTGTACAGAAAGCTGCTATAGAGGTAGTGGTAAAACCTATACAGTACAATATTCTGTATGTTTACTCAGAAGCCTGTTCCATTCTAGTTAGTTGAACTCAATACAACACAGCGTACAATAGGATTGCTAGCCTAATCTTACAAGTTCTATAAAAAGAGGAAACAGACATGAATAACATTATATTTTTCAGAATTATTAATTTCTTTTTACTAAGATGGAAGAGATGCATGTTTGTATGTTTGATTGTTTTTAATTTATTTATATTCAAGGAAAAAACCATTTCAGATTTGAAATGCATACTTTCTGATATGGAGCATTCATCAACGTAAGTCTCAGATTAATTTCTTATTTTAAAATTAACTTTTAACTAGCCCAATGTAGTCTAGTAGTTTTCTTCTCTAAATTAAATCTATTCTCAATTCATTATCTGTTGCTTATTTTAAAATCTCCATAATTATTACAAATTGTTCCAATACTATTGGGTCGTTCTGAAAAAGATCAACAGAATTAATTGTTAACATCAATTCCGGCTATTTGTGTTATTGTTTGTTTGCTTTTACACTTACTAAATTGATGTTTAAACATTACAGGCAGTCCCCAAGTTACAAACATAATAGATTCTGTAGGTTTGTTCTTAAGTTGAAGTTGTTTGTAACTTGGAACAGGTAACTCCAGCCAAAAATATTTATTTTTTAGCTTTGAATAGCATAGGGAAGGGTTAACATCTCTTTGGAGTTTGTTTTGCTATTTGTGCCCCTGTTCAGAAGATTTCACCTCACTTTCTGTCCCTGTGGTCATTGGATTTTGAAAAAAATGGCTTGTTTTGGAATCAAGGATTGGTGGTCAAGCTTCAGGTGAGACACCTTATCCTCATGATAACACTTCCCAGAGTTAATTTCCCTTCCAAGGGGTAGATTTGTCTCACTTTCTGTTGTCTCACCCCCATTCTTAACTATGTAATTCAGATGTTTGGAAATTGAGGACTGCCTGTAGTTGGTTTATAGTTGGTATCCATCTATCTAAAATTAGAAACATATTGTGTCAATGCCTTCCTTGTGTGTATGTGTGGAGAGAGACATCATGGTAAATCATGATCTTAACATGTGCTGTCAGACACTATACTGTTAGCAAAAAATGGTAGACAATTAATGATTACTGACGAAAGTGCAGAGACAGGTTTACAGTTGAACATTAAGAAAATAGAAATAATGGCCACATTTGCATTACATAACTTTAAAGTAGATGATGAAGGAATTGAGCTAGTTCAGGATTTTCTATGTCTTGACCTGGTCATTAATCAAGATGAAGACTGACGTGAAGAAATCAGAAGAAGACTAGGGTATGGAGGGGCAGCTATGGAGTATATTATGGAGGAACCTAGACAAGATTTCTCTAATTCCTAGTGTTTCCATAAATTGACTTGATGGCAATAAGTAGCACTATAATATATGTATATGTTTATTATAAAATATGCATAAACATTAAAATTTTGAAACAGGCATTCTACTGAAGCACTACGCCAATATGAGCAGGATATTACTAGACTACATGAGCTGCTTGATGATGCTAATAATGAACTTACTCAGATTGGCAGGGAAAAGGAGGCTTCCATTCAAGAAAATGAAAGGCTACAGGAAGAACTGTATGGTTTTAAGCAGGAAAACCAGGTATTTTCTACAGAATTTTTGAGTGAAGTCCACAATATATCTTTCATGCAGACATCTTGCTCCTATGATATTTCAGATATACTCAAATATAATAATAAATAAATATATTCAAATATAATAAAAGACAAAATAATAAAGGCCAGTTGCTTTCTTCTATTCCTATCCTTATAACTGGGATATGTTGCTGTCTGTAAAGCTATCTCCCACCACTTCTTTTAAGTACTTATGCAGCCAAGACTTTTTAATTTTTTCCCCCTTAGGAGTTGTGAATAGGAGCCCTCAGTTCACTCCACTGCGCACATGCACACAAATCAATTTTTATATTCAAACAGGGGTGAGAAAGGCGGTATATAAATCTATATAAATAAAAATGTAATGTTCGTTTGTGGGATTAACACAACTCAAAAACCACTGGATGAATTGACACCAAATTTGGACACAAGACACCTCTCAGGCCAACGAGTGACCATCACTCATAAAAACACTGAAAAACACTGCATAAGAGACTTAAAAAGCAAAAAAATAAAAAATAGATTACAATGCATGAGCAAAACCACATATACACAAATATATTCATACACATATACACACACAAAAAACATATATACTTTGACTGTGCCACAGCAACGCGTGGCAGGGGATGGCTAGTACTGTAAATAAACAAACAAACAAACAAATAAAATATTGGTGTTGCTTGGACAAAGTTTATTTGCCACTTCAAATTCTCAATGATAGCTTATTAGTGGGCAGACAAGAACAATTTGAAGGTTTACTTAACTATAAATCCAATTCATCTCTTTCAAAACCAGAGGTTGAAATCATTCATTAGTTTCTGCATGTAATATATAAACATGTACACATTCTTGGGTGCTGCTACAGGTTTTCCTGTACTATAACCTTTCCTTATTCCAAATTTGAGTTTAGATGTAAATGACACAGAGCCCCCCTCATCAATGCAGGATACATGTAACAATGTTCCACCAGTTTGCTAATATGTGCATCTGAACTGTAATGTTAAATCTTTAATTTTATGTATATTTTGTATTGTTTCATACATATGATATATGAATTACCATATATACTAATGTATAAGTCAATTTCATGTATAAATCAAGGGCAGGTTTTGTGGACAAAATTATGGATTTTTACATGAGCCATGAATAAGTTGAGAGTCCTTCTATGGAGAGGGGAAAGTCTTGCCTCAGAAGGCCAGTTGTTTCTGCCCATTGCCACCATTTCCCCAACCAGGATCCAGAAAAGGGACTGAGTGGAGAGAGAAATAGTGCTTCCTTTCTGTTCTCCCAGGGTGGGCTAAGCTCTTACCTTTTGCTACTCTACTCATAGAAGGGAATGCTTCCTTTTTTAAACAAAAGTTGAGGTACAATACTCACATGGTAACAAGTCCCTTTGGGGAGAGGGAGCGAGATATAAATAAAGCATTATTATTATTATTATTATTATTAATAATAATAATAATAACAACCCATGGATAAATCTGCCCGGGTTTTTGAGGTTGATTTTTTTTACTAAATTACTAGACTTATACAAGAGTATATAGAGTAATTTTTAATCTTAAAACATTTAAGTATGAAATCCATCTAAAATTTAGGCTTGAAATACAATCAGAAACTGAAATAGGTGAGTAAAATAATGCTTCATGTTTCTTTGACAGATTCTTCATCAAAAACTCAATAAATGTCAAAATGAACTTGATGAAGTGAAGTTGAAAACTGAAGATTGGCATACTGATATTGCCAGACTGAAGAGCATACTGAACGCTAAAGTAAATTTATAATTTGAAAAGCTTCAGCTGTAAAAAAAAAACAAAAACCCAAAGGCCAAGTACCTTCCTACAAACTTGGCAAACTCCACGTGTCTCTTCTTTTAATGGTAGATGCTTCAGAGCTGTTGCTCTTACAAATCACTATAATTTCATGATAATGTTAGGATAGAAACTCCTTTGACAAGGAGAACAGGAGTATCTTCTCTCCATGTTTCCCTCATAAGCTGTTGTGGGCAAGAGAATACTGAAAAGAGAACTGATGATTAAAAGCTCTTTGTCGGTTTTCTCTCAGATTGATCTCTCTACCATCAAATTATTTTCCTTCATTTGCTAGACTGAAATTGGAAGTAATCTTGTGAGATTTGCATAGAAAATAGCCACTGGGATACCAATTTTTTTCTAGCAGGCATCTCACTCCTGTCCCCTACTTAACTTAAACATTTTGTTTGGGGTACTGCATATAATTGCTAAAATAACATAGTTTTACTTGAAAACATCTGGGCAGTAGAATCACATCATACATATGATGTTTCATGTCTTTGCTGTCACTTAATTTAATATCATACTTTAGAGTATATAACACATGTGAAAAGCGGGTGGTGATGGAAAAGGTGGTGGAAAATCACATCAACCACCTTAATTATTGAACCAACAGTCTACTTGATTGGAAGCAGGTTTCAGTTATTGATCTTAAAGTTTAGAAATTATATAGTTACACATTAGGTAGTTTCAGACAACACAATTAGGTTTCCTGGCTTATAGTGTCATCCATTGGGGACAATGTGTCACTGAACCTCTGAGAAGATTCTAAGGAGATTTTACTTAGTCTGCAGTGGAAAGTTCCATGTGCTGTCTTTGTATATCCTTTGAGTGTTGCACAGGAGCAATCTATATTATGTTCATCCAAGTTGACTTTTAATTTTAGAATGCTGTAGATTAGTGGTTACCAACCTTTTTTTTGACCAGGAACCACTTTGACCAGGGACTACTTTGCCCAGAGACCACTCTCCAGCCTTAGTACCAAAAGGATAGGAACCCCTGGTGGCACAATGGGTTAAACCCCTGTGCCAGCAGGACTGAAGACAGACAGGTTGGAGATTCAAATCTAGGGAGAGCACGGATGAGCTCCCTATGTCAGCTTCAGCTCCCCATGCGAGGACATGAGAAAAGCCTCCCACAAGGATGGTAAAACATCAAAAACATCCGGGGACCCCTGGGCAACATCCTTGCAGACAGCCAATAATCTCACACCAGAAGCAACTTGCAGTTTCTCAAGTCGCTCCTGACATGAAAGAAAAAAAAAAAACCCAAAAGGGTTGCCAATCAATTTTTGGTCAACTTTAGATTCTGTTTGGTTATTTGGGGTGCTGATTTAGAAAATTGCATTGGATAGGCCACATCAGCTCTAGTTTCTGTTAAAGAATATATGCCATCTAGTAGTCGCCATCTGCTTGCCCACAGAAAACCATATCTAATAATCTAGAGCTGATGTAGTCTATCCAATGCAATTTACTTAATAAGCACCCCAAGTAACCCCAGGCACAGGCCTAAAAATGAAAACACCAAGGCGCTCCCGCTTCTGGGTGCCACATGGAATGGCTCTGCTTGGGGCGAGGAAGGGGGAAGAGAAACAATAGACAAGAGGCTTGCAGTCACACCTATTGTGGGTAGTCGGCCTCTCCTCTTCCGACATCCCCGTTGCCTCAGCACAGTGAGAGGGTTTCACGAGCCCAGTCTCTCTCATTGCAATGGTGTAGTAACAGTGAGGCACGTATTATCTATCTAGCATGTTACACTTCCATTTGGCAGTGTATTTAGATTTTGAGTCCTAACGCTTTAAATTATGTTTCATCTATTGGTATTTTTAATTTGTATATATGATTAACAACAGTTTGTTCATGATGGATTGGATTCAAGTTATGCAAGCCAAAGGCCATATGTTTCTTTTCCTTGCAACTTACATGTTCCCACTGAAAACTGGAGAGTTGGGGCATAATTTCAGAAATCTGGGCAGTGTGGAAGGAAGCTATTTGCTCACTGTCTTAAATTGGAATAGCTAAACAAAAAAGACAGAATTTCACAAATGAAGCAGAGACACTTTGTGTGGGTGAATTTACACCTATATGACAATGCAATTCTTTTTCTGGAATGGTCAGACATCCCAAGTTCTGTTTACAAAGCATACTGAGCTGAAGTGCATACTGTTAGGTGAAGGGGCAAATCTTCCCACCACATATAATTAATATTCAGTGGTAACTGATGCATACAGTTGCATCCCATGTTCACACAATCAGGGCAGTTGTTCATGCAAATTGATCCACCTGTGCTCTGCACACGTTTATTCACATACTAGACATTTGCATGCTTGGTAAGCAGTATTGTCAGGTGGCCACCGTGCAAATCAGTGTTAAGCTGTAGATATAAAAACAAAATTTGCATTTCAGGAGATAGAATATCATGATCTTTTGGAGAATTGCCGCAGGACCAATGAACAGGCAGAAAAATGGGAAACAAAATTCCACCAAATAGAAGCTGATTACAATTCTGTGCGACATGAATTTCTCAGTGTAGAGTCTGAGAATGACAGATTGAAAGAACGAACAGATTCTCTTGAAACAGAGATTGAGCAAGTAAGTTTTTAGTTTCATTTTCATATAATAGGCTGAAACTAGTCTCCTTAGCTCTTTTATTTGCTTTTATCACATTCTTCTAATATGGACAATGAACTAAGGGGACAATGTATATTTGTCTTTGGTTCAGGCTATAGCAAATAATTTCACTGAAACATATAATCAGAAGGTTTTAATATCTTGTAATGCCTTTCCTGTCTTGGGAAGTATCTGCTGGAGAAGGGTGATCTGGCAGGTGATGATTATTAAGGAGATGCTTCAGTACATTTGTCCATAGAAGACTGTGACTTCTACAGTGTTTTAGTTATCTATCAATGGGACTAACTGGCATTGGGAGGGCTGAAGAGTAGCTAAGTAAAACCGGCCCTCTCTTATGGCAGGTAAGAAGAAGGGGGCAAAAATCGCCTAGAAAATTGGAGAGGATTGGGGATTCACAGAATTGCATTGGAGGGCATAGAGAAATTGGTTACAGAATTATTCTGGAGGACTTCAAATGCCTAGAGAGAATACAAATTGTAATTTCAATGCAATGTTTATTAGCACAGAGCAGTGGTTCTCAGCCTGGGGGTTCCCTGTTGTTTTGGCCTACACTGCCCAGAAATCCCAGCCAGTTTACCACCTGTTAGGATTTCCGAGAGTTGAAGGCCAAAACATCTGGGGACCCACAGGTTGAGAACCATTGGCATAGAGAGTCTAGTGTTCAAACAAATGCATATCATGTGAGGGAGTATTTCTAGGTGAGTGGGATGACAATCTTTTTAATTTAAATCAGTTCTTAGCAGCTAAGGCTTAATATTTATTTAAATGAATGTATATCTGAGTGTTTGTATCTGTGTGTGTAGGAAATATACATAGAGGTGTAGTCTAGTCTGTCTGTGTACATAAATCGTACTGATTTAATTGAAATTTAGGTACATCCAATTTTAACTGATCCGCTTTAAATTTCAAATCATTTTAAAGTTGTTGAAATATGTTTTTTGGAATCACACATATGGGTTAACTGCACCGCAATAATTGTAGCCTTCTAGAGCTGGGTGATCTAATATTTGGTGGACCATTTTTCCATTTCCTGTATATAAGTGCCTACCACCTGGTTCCTTTCCCGTTTCTTTTTCATCTATCATAGCAGCCACTTTGTTGGGAATTTTCTGGTATTCTTCTATTTATTGAATTCTTATCTCTTTATGTTTTCTTTCTTCTTCAGAAGTTATCTTCTGTCAGTTGTTCTCTACCTGTGGGACCCAGATGTTTTCGCCTTCAACTCCCAGAAATCCTAACAGCTGGAAAACTTGCTGGGAATTTTGGGAGTTGTAGGCCAGAACACCTGGGGACCCACAGGTTGAGAAGCATTGTTTTTATTCCTTGGACTCTGCATTCTAAATTTCTCTTTTTGCTTCTTCCCCCACAGATTCTGTGAGGAAGATAAAAGCACTTGAGCTGGAAAACAAACCAGCCTTGTTTATTGGTCACCTCTGTGATTTTGCTAAATTATGAGCTGCCCGAAGCCTCTTACGTAACTAATAATGACACTCTACCAGAGCCACCATGACCTTAAGTGCTTCTTTAGGGGATATCCCTCCCTGACATTTGCAGGGGAACCTGGTTGCAGCTGTTTGTATTTGTCCATCATTTTGTCATGAAAATCAGGTTGCAACGAGAGACATATTTTGGGAGCGTAGATTTGAGATCTTTATTAACATGATTCTCTGCCTCATGTGAGGAGCTTGTTAATTCTCCTTATATGTGTCAATAAAAAAAACTTGCTTATCTTTAATTGTGATTCTTTGAGTGGTCATCTTTGAATGGCTGTCTGTGAACCACACAACTCTCCCTCTTCTGTTAAATCTTACTCCATAGGAAGCATATGTTATGGGAAGACTGGGAACTAGGGAAGGACCTGATTGGAAAGGGCTTATATACAAGGAATAAAAAGAACAAGTATCCTGCAAAAACTAGTTCATTCAGCTTTAGAAGATTCCGAATATTACACTGTTGGGTGCAACTACCCTTATACGTGGGTTCACAGATGAATATGTGAAGAATCTGTTTGTCAATGTAGGATACTTTAACAGCAATCTCTTAGAATAAATGTAATTTTTCAGATTAATATTCAGTAAAACCGTAACCAATCCTTCCTAAAGATAGTGAGCATTTCTCAAATATAATGTATCTTTGTAGTACAAGGATGATTTCTCTTTATCAGTTCTTTTTTTCTTTTTTGATTGGGGAATAGCATTTAGTATCCGAAAAAGCCTACAAATCACAGATTTCTACTTTAGGCAAGTCTCTTGTGAAAATGGAGGAGGAACTTCACAAATCTCAGTTGGAAAAAGTTTCTATACTCTCAGATCTGACATCTACGCGAGAACTCTGCATTAAATTGGACACCAGCAAAGAATTATTAACCCGGCAGTTAAATAGTGCAACACAAGAAGTTGAAAAAGTGAGTATAATATAATGCTGCAGGCTTATGGCAATTAACTATAACACACTGGATTTCAAATAATTCCTCAGTTTCCTTCAGGTCACTGAGTTCTTGAGCCCAGCACATTGTCTGAACAGGCCTTGCCTCTTTCTTCAGTCATACTAAAGATATGGCACACGTGGCCCTGCACCTCAAGAGATTCCTCAGAGATTTGTCAGCCCTCCCACTTTACATGGGTTTTCACCACTACCTCTAGATTGCACCCTTAAGACCTTGGCAGGATCTCCATTTAAATTGCTAAATATCATCTCAATCTTATTACTAAACTATTACCTAAAAGTATCCTTTCTTATGGCACCACATTAACAAGACAGATATCAGATCAGAGCATACCATCCCCCATCATGGTGGTTGTTTTGTAACTTTTTATGGTGATTTTAAAATGAAGAAACACAGAGATTTATTGGCAAGATTTATTCAGAGGGGATTTACCATTTCTTTCTTCTGATTCGCAAAGAATTTGACTTGTCCACAGTCACCTAGTGGGTTCCATGACTGAGTGGGGATCTGAGCCCTAGGCTCCAGAATTGTAGTCCAAATTTCAAATCAGGACACTGCTCTGGCTCTCCTCCATCATGTATTAGCTATTATTTACAGTAATTGAAGGAATAAACACAACTGCCTTTTGCTGGTCTCGAGAATGTATTTGACATCTGTTTTGCCCTATCCAGAAACATTTGCCCTACATAAAACAGTTTTATTTAATCCTACAGACACATTGACACCTTAATAGAATTTGTTTCCAGTCCACTTCCTTGAGAGGAAAGGCTTCCATTTTAATCAGATAGCTTTAGCTTTTAAGACTCAGCATCAGACAAAACCTTTTCACATTGTAGTTTCCTACAGGGAACCTACCAGTGTATGACAAGTGTCCAATATTCCATTTTAATATGTGCATCAGAAAAAAAAGGTTAAAGAACTTTACTCTTTTGCTTTTCAGTATCAAAATGAATGGGAAACATCTGAATCAGAAATAGAGCTCCTCAGAAAACAACTTACTAATGAAAGAATCTCAATTAAAAATCTGGAAACACTGATAGCCTCCAACAGAGAAAACGAATTTCAATCTCAGATAATAAACCAAGAAAAGAATTCTGAAATACAACTTCTTAAAGAACAGCTTTCTCTGGCTGAAAACAAAATGTGAGTAAATAGTTATATAGTAAAGAAATAATGCAGGATCAAGAGATCTGAGATCATAGTTTATATTGTTCAGATAACATAAGGGATTCCATGGTGGTCATCAACATTCTTACTTCCAAAAATTAAATGATAAGTGGACAACCTCAAACCATTTTATGGGCCAGAAAAGATAAAAATCCACCAAATGCTGGACCTACAGAAAGACTTAGCTGATCTGCACTTCACTGCCTTGGAGCAATGACTGTAATATTTATTTACATATATGTGTACAGGTAGTATGTTTTACAGAAGATGTTATTAATTATGAAATATCTACATTTGGAAAATTCTGTTTGTACATTATTTTGGATTTATTACTATTAATTGTTTTAAATGTTTGAAGTATTGATCGTATTTAGGTTCTTTTGAAACAGCAGGAATATATTCATATGTTCACTTTAAAACTTGTTTTTAATAATAATTATTTAAAGATGTTCTTGATAAATTCAACTAAATGTTCTGTTTAAGTCTTTAACTTTGTCATCTGTAGTGCTATCCAGAGTCGAGATTATTCGCAGCTGAAAAACACAATAACTCAATTGGAATCTGAGCTAGATATTACCAAAAGACAGTTGAGCACAGAACGCTTTGAAAGGCAAGTGTTAAGACTGCATTTTTAATATTTTAAATGTTTAATTTACAGTTATTGCTGTTATGCAAATTTGGAAAGATGAAAAAGGTCAAAATGGCTAGAAGCATTTATAACCTGGGTTTGAGATGTTGCTTTTAAAAAAAGGAATTATCAGTGTTACTTGTTGCTCCTATCAACCAATGAGTTCATGGATAGGGCTTTTACTGTACTGTTTATGGTTTATACATGGTCTTTTAATGAATTTTAACTATTTTAAACTTATAAATTATGTTATTGTCTTTTAAATAGCATTTATATTTGTAGTTTTCTTGATTTTTTTGTATCACTTTAATCCGTATTGTTTTTAATATATTGGAAATCTGAAAGTCAGTGTGGTGTAGTGGTTTAAATGTTGGATCAGGACTCTGGAGACCACAGTTTGAATTCCTGCTCAGCCATAGAAAGGCAATGCCCCCTGAACAAATCTTGCCAAGAAATCCCTATGATAGTTTCACCTAAGGTCACCATAAGTCAGAAAACAACTCAAAGGCATACAACAAGTTACCTTGAGTCCCATTATTGGGGAATTGGGGTGGGATATAAATTATACGATATTATATTTTATCTATCCAAGGATTATGAACTTTTTGAAAGTCATTTTAGCTGGTTAAATTAAACTTGCTCCAAATCAAACTTGTGTGTGTGCATGTGCATATGTGCCTGTGAATCGCTTAACAACTTTTGGTGACCCTATGAATTTCACAGGATTTTCTTAGGCGAAGTAGATTCTGATGTTTTCCCTCCTTTAATTACCCACTCCATTGTGTTCCAAAATAAAGTTACTGCAGATATAGTTTTGTGCCCTATTTTTTAAATCAGCAACATGTGTGACAAATGCAAAACACATTAAGCAAATAAGATAGGAAAGCCCATTTTCCCTCAAAGTCATTGCCAACTGGAGATGTATAGGTCCTTCCAAGTCCTATAATGAATTAGTTTCAGTGGTGAGAGATGGAAGCTTGTCTTCTTTTATAACTTGTAATAAATCCTGTCCTGTTCACTTCTGGAAGATTCATCATGGGTGCAGAACTTCTGAACAACATCCCAGTTATCTATGGGGTGAATTATTCCCCAAACAGGAGGGAATGAAGGTTTTCAAGGCATGGTGAAACCAGTCATTTCTGATTGACCATAATTTGATCGTAGTATAAAGGAGTTTCTTATGTTTCTAATATCACATCCAAATTTTCCTCTATTCTTCCTTTTGACTCAGAATTGAGTCCCTATAAAATGTTCATCTGTTCCCACTTCCCACTTTTAGTGAAATGCTTGTGTGAAAAAGATTTTTGAATTTTCACCAGCTTCTACTGCTTCTGTCTTCAAATATGTTGTGCTTTCATTTTAGGGAGCGTGCAGTCCAAGAACTTCGGCGCCAAAGTCTTACAGCTTCATACCACTTATCATCAACAATAAAATCATCATCGCCTGAACGTTGCCGGCATTGGTCTCCTGACAGGACTCTGGACAGATCTTTGGAAGGGTGAGAACATCATGTTGTTCAGAGATGAAAAAGTATGCTTTCTTTCCATCCATTCCTGAATGCCATTTTGCCAAGATTCACATAAAATGGAAGCATGACTTTGGAATGTGGGAGATAAAAAAAAAAGATTCGGATGATTAGTTCGTACGTTGCAGCCTCAGAGCATATATCATTTCCCTGTGTTTGTACCATAATGGGTTATTCTTTCACATGGCCACTAAGCCCATGATTGTTCTTGATCCTTTACTGCCAGGTTGATTGTGTATGGCTCCTTTGTTAGGTCTACATAGTACAAAATGTATTTATTCTTAAGCATTCACATAGGGCTGATATGAGCAGGAGGATGTTGAAATGGTTGCTGGCATCATAAAGATAGTAGGAGAAATTCATATGTACCCCTTTGACTTCTTACAGGAACACAAGTGTTCAGTATATTGTGATAACCCCTGCATGTTTTCCAGGCTTCCTCCCTCTCTGTTCTTATTTAAAAATATCTCTTCTCTCCTCATAATTTAATTCAAGAGAGCAAAGCAGACAGATCCATAGATGTGCATGATGTTATTACAATATTGTAGGAGAAAAATATCTGTTTCAAATCTCTTTTTAAAGGGGCCACATTATATTGAATGAAACAATGTTCATACAGTCCAAAACATTTTCATATCATCCTTCATTTCTCACTAAAAGTCTCTCTACCTGAATTTCATTCATGGACATCATTTACTGTTTTTATAAAGACTAGCTGTGACATATTATTATACTGCTCTTTTCCCCCTATAAAATAATGTAAACTAGTTTTCTTAGATTTAATATTCAAACTTCGAATTAAATGTACACCTGAGATAATTTGTGATCAATGAAAACCTAAGCAGTGAAAAAGGAAGGAAAGAAAGATTATTAGCTTGATATCCAAAACCAATGTGAGGGCCTTATAATTAGAGCCAAGAAAAGATATGTATTTGTTCCTGTGCAGAAAACAAGCAAACAAAAACAGTTTAAGAGTCCATTTTTGTCTCTTATAGGGATTCTATATTGAAGGATTCTATGTTGAAGGACTTCTAATTGAAGAAGATATGGAAAAAATCTGACATCCCTTAAAGAAATACAGTTGCCAAACTGAATTCAGGAGCTATTGTAATGGTGGCTTTAATTCAATTTGATGGTGAAAATGTTCAGATTACTTACTAACTGAAGGATCATTCATAACTGTTTTATCCAAGTGGAATAAAAGCAATTTGGATATTTTGTTTTATCTGACTAATATCCATTATTAAAATGACATCCTGAAAAGCAAAGTGAACAAGACTGTGACTGCATGGTGTCAGAAACCCACTGAATGAAGCTATCAATGTAAAGAGAAAAACAGAAAAGAATTAAACCGTTTGCCTTATTTCTTCATTTAATTGTTGTAACATGGTTCCATTTTTGGTAAGCCATGTAATATTTTCATCTGAGGGCATAGGCACATTTTAAAACAAAGGGTATTTACTATATTTAGCTCAAATCCGAATAAAAAATTCTTATTAAAGTAATTGGCTTGGATCCTAATCTCTTCTTGGAATAGAAGAATTCACATTCACAGGGGGAGATTTTTCCTCTCCCCCTTTCCTCTGCAATTCCTCTAGGCCTCCAGAAATGATGGAAATTATGTGATATATAGTAAGGGACTGCATAGAGGGAAATGACAGAAGTCACAAGTATCTCTTGCATGGGCAGAGGAGCAACTTGGGATCCAGTTCAAAGAACAAAAAAGCCATATTACTTTGAAACCATTCTTTTCTTTCTTTTTTGAGAGACAGCAAGAACCACCTGTTACTTGCCTTTAGTGTTAATATTTTGATTTTTTGAGACTTCGAGTCTTTTCTGATTTATGGTGACCCTAAAGCAAATCTGTCAGGATTTTCTTGGCAAAATTTCTTCGGGGGGGGGGGGGGGGGGCCATGGCATCGGCTTCCTCTGGGCCTGAGAGAGAGTGACTTGGGCAAAGTTTTAACCATATCTTTCAGAGTCCTAGTCCAACCCTCAAACCAATAGACCATACTGGATCTTAAAGCCAATGAATTATAACCTATCTATGAAAATAACAGTGGTGGATCTGCACCTCTGTTATACAGGGTCTTTTTAACTTATCCTGACAACGTTAGTTAGAGAGAGGAGCAAGTCTTCATCGGTATTAATTAGATAATATATTTTACTTCTAAACAGTGTGTAACACAGTGTTTTCCTGATGACCATTAAAATTACATTTGTGGCAATATCACTCAGTCAAATCATGTACTGCTTATGGACAGATATTGCAAGTATCATTAAACTGTTTATTATCCTATTAACTGAATAAAATTTCAGTCATTTTTCTTACTAGAAGCCACTTTTTATGACAGTGAAACATTTCCTTTTTTGATGTATATATTTTAAATAAAGAGTTTTAATGGACCCTTATTTTGTTTTTTTATGGCAGTTTCTAAGTACATTTCATCCAGTTGTCTTCTCTTTGAGAGACAATGGCCAAAGTAAGCCCGATTCATCTTTTCTATCTCCAATGGCTCTGTAGTATTTTCCTTTTCCCTCTATAATGTCTAGCAAATTGTTTTAAAAAGTTGTTTCTCAAGGTAATCAGAAAAAAATCAACATGGCATAGTTTGCGACTTCAAAAACTGTCATTCTGATTTTAACCATGAACACACACTTACGTTAACAAGAACAAGTACTTCAGAATTACTATTATACATTCAAAAAGGTATGCCATGAAAATATCAACAGTAGTGCTTAACAGGACCATACACTAAGACTTGGCCTCTCTCTTTTCTCTGTGTGTTGCTGTTTGCAGAGCTCAGCTCAGTAAAGGATTCTGGAGTCAGCTGCCACTTATCTTGCTATAGTGCCAAGGTGCATACTGCTAAAATAGGGTAATTTAGAGTAGAACTCCACTCTATTGTGGCTCAATCTTTAATGCATTTGTTAGTCCAGGCACACTGCTGCAACATAATATCCAGAGTTAGTGATTCTAAAGCCCTTCACTATTCTCCCAATGCTGATATTGCTGGCGGGAAAATACTTCCACGTAGAGAGGACAAAGAGGAAAAGGGGGAGCTAAGCAGACCAAAGAAAGCTTTTTAGAAATATGCTTCTTTGTTAGAGGTTTTGTTAACCAAGGTGTGCCTATAAATCTGCATATATATATATCTGTTATTTATCATTAATTAGTCATCAAGTCAGCTTATAGCATCCCTATGAATAGCATCCCTATGACCCCAAGAGCATCCACAGTCCTCCTTAGCTCTGCAAAACAGGATCCTGGCTTCTTGTATTAAATCAATCTATCTAACTGTACTGTGGTACCCCCCTTTCCTATTGCCTTCCAGTAGTATTTTCCAATGATTCATGCCATATGATTTATACAAAATACAGTAGTTTTATTTTAGTCATTTTGATCTTCAGTGAACTTGTTTGTTTTCTTTTAAGGTAATTATTGTACTCCCCTAAAACATAGATTCAAGAAGAAAAAACGAATCTACCAGGAAGGATGGTGGGATTGGTTTGTATCCCTATATCTGCTAGAACAATTAGAGTCACTTTTATGGAATCTCTGCAAGAAATATGACTCACTGGTTTTGGTGGCTAGCATTTCTATTGTCAGTGGGATGAATCCTTATTGAATGTTAGTTTGAACTCTATGTGTTAATGTAATTAAGAGTTTTTTTTAACGTCCCTGCAAAGTTTAATATGTGAGACCTTTTGCTGCTTTCTGCAGGTTTTGTCCCAAAAGGGAAAGACACATTTGAATTTGTAATGTTCTTTTAATTTGGGGGTTCTGTTACTTCTTAAAGAGGGATTTAAAAACCACCCTTCAAATTCCTATCAGAACTGCAAGTGTTTGGAAAATTGTCATTGTCTCTATTCTGAAACTTATCTATGGCATCGTACTTTTCTTGAATAAATTGTGACCTTCGATTTACGAGGCCCTTGATCAAAGACTTGCAAACAGGAAAGTAGGACTGATTTCTTTGCCCAAGTAGGGCTGTGCCCATAGAACCACACTTGAGCTTACAGTTTGGCTTTCTGTTTGAATCTCTTGTCCACTTCAGAAGTCCATTATCAGGATAACTATAATATATTTTTCCCATTTTTCTAAAGGAGGTATCTCTGGGGTTTTCAAAAAACGTTTTTTTGTGCGACATCTTGCAGCACATTTTGCTATAGTTTTTCAATTAATATTTCCGAGTCCCAACCAATTCAATATAGTTTGTAGCAGCCACAAAAACAAAGTTTCTGGAGTATAACAACTACTTTCAAAGTAAGTACTGTACTGAACAATTAAACAGGAAATAATACTTTCAAACCAGGAACAGAATATTTTTCAAATGTTGTTACATAGTGTTATTGGCAGCTCTCCCACAAGAGCACGCTACAGCCTACAGCCCAAAGCCCTTTCTTCTGTGTAACTTGAATAATGTCTTATGCATTCATGCATACATCCACACACACCCTCTGATCCACTTGGTTCTCAGCAAAGGTTTTGAGAAAAGACAATTTCAGGGGGGAAAATCAATGAGTACTCAAAAGTATCACTTCTATCCTTGTTAACAATGCTCAAGATGAGCAGATTGAAATAATGAGTTAATTTACTTGTTTTCCCAAAACTTTTTATGTACTTTATACATACATGGGGGATTTTTTTTAATGTTAAAGAAAACCAGTGTGAAGCATGTTACTGCTTCTAAAGTCCAATAATAAACATATTTCTAAAACTGAGATGAGCAAATTTGTAAAATTAGGGAAGCACATTGACCCTCCAGAAATTCTTGGAGGGCTACAAACCACACGCCCCCACCTCCCCCCAAAAACTCAATCAACATGTTTTTCCCCATCCATCCTTTTTGGGACATGGGGACATGTTTTGAGGCTATTCCTAGGCCATTCAAGGGCATTTTGAAGCAAAAAAAATGTTACTGAAAAAATTGCAAAATGCCATGGTGATACAAAGGTTCTAACTATATGTC